AAAGGAGATCATTTGGATGAGGTATTCTCAGCCAGCATTTTGTTGCGCTATTGCTGTGGTTGTTGGAGAATCTATTGATCGATGCAAATGCAAAGACTACACTTGGGATCCCTATAACAACCTTACAGAGCCTTGTCAAGAAGCTTCAACTTCTTCCCAAAGCAAAGAAGTAACACGGAAGACAAAGAAGAATCATAGGTCAAACATTATTTATTGGGGTGTCATTGGAGTCTTAGTAGAACTAATCATCGGTCTCTGTATTGCTCTCAGAGTGTCTAATCGTAAGATTGACCAGGACAAGAAAAATAGGAGAACGGCATACTCTCAATTGAATCATGTACATGTACATACAGATGACAAGAGTGAGAAAATCATTTAAATGTAGACTTTGCAATACTCTCTCTCTCTCTCAAAAAAAATAAATAAATAAAAAAAAAAAAAAAATAATCGAATTTTAGTTTTTAATATTAATTTAATTGTTACTCTTTCATTTTCCTAGAAAGCTATTATATTTTGACATCAGCACTGCAATATTTGCAGTAATATGGTACATACCCTAAAGTCCAGAATCTGCCTGGTCCTTTATAATTCCCTATACACTTTCAAGCCGTCGAAGATGGCGTTATCAACAAACTCATAATATTATGCTCACAAGCCAGGCGTCTTAATTTAATGATCACGCCATCATCGGCTGGTAGCAAGAAAGGGTGGAGATCAACATTAAATAGGCCAGCTTCTGGACTAGACTTTCCCCTGCCCAGTGGCGGATCCAGGGGGGGGGGGGGCAAACGTGTAAAAACGCGTGATTTTTACCTTTTTGGGGGAATGCCAATTTTTGGGAGCAAAAAAAAAAAAAAAAAAAAAAAAATAGTGCTCACTGCCCCCCTCCCCCCCCCCCAACTGAGCGACTCTTTTCGGCCGGCGCTATTTTCAAATTTTCGGGAGCAAAAAAAAAAAAAATGTTGGGCCCCCTCCCCTAGGAAATCCTGGCTTTCTACGGTTCTGTAGATCGTTGGAAATCTGACCTTGATAATAAACTACTCTAGACTAGAGGAAGGCAGCCAAATTAGAGAAGTAGACAAAATTAAAGGTATGATTTTGTACATGTCGTAATCATTATAGGCATAGGCTCTTCATATTGGCTGAATAGACAGTGTCTTTCTGATGTAGTGGCAGACAAACTTCCCATTTTTTTTCATCACAGAAAATGACTAAAATTTAATTTAAAAAAAAAGGTATGGCAACTACCATGGTAACAGGGCTCAACAGCCAATCAACATCAAGGTTTCCATGGTAGTTACCACTGATGGCAAAGTTACCATCAATAGTAAGATTTGTTCAACGGGGCCCTGCTTCATAAAACTTGCTATCAATAACAAATGCTTAATTTTGTATGACAAATTCGCTCTCAGCCAATCAAATGCCATGATTACAGTAGCTTATAACAGTAATTGTAACTTGTTATTGATAATAAGTTTCATGGAACAAGGCCAAGGTGTCCGTCTTCATCAGCGTGACTGGTTACTACTTTTTTAATTTGTTTGTGTGCAAAAGGTGACCCCAAAAGAGTGACCTTACCCCCCCCCTTAGTCGTTGCGAAATTTTTGGGACCAAAAAAAAAAAAAAAAAAAGTGCTCCTGCACCCCCCCCCCCGCTTAATTAGCGCCTGCTGAATCGTTGCGAAATTTTCGGCCCGATTAAAAAATGTTGACCCCCCCCCCTTGAAAAAATCCTGCGTACGCCACTGCCCGTGATTTGCCAATGCATATTCGCTTTATGTATTCTTAATACTGTTATGTAACTTATTTGACAAAATCTCCCTATTGGTATTTATGTAACTGAATTTTAGGGGCTTGCGCCATACAAGCATTGCTTCTTTAGTATGCCCTCCGTTTCATTGTATACATTTAGGTCAGCAATGTTCTGTTATCATTTTCAGTTCTTCAGTATGTTTTTGTTTGTTTTTTATACAAACTTATTACATTGCATTATGTTATTATTGAATTCAAATTTAATTTGTACATGTTTATGTTCATATTAAAAACGGAAATAAATACATCGTATTAATTCAGGATATCCTTGACAAATGATGTGTTTTGTTATTAAATACTTGACCTTAGTTACGTTCTGATAATGTGACTAACACGAGAGCAACTATTTTGTGAAATATCAGTTCAAGGGCTATTTTATTATTCTTTTGTATATCCCAAGTTTCATGTTCAAAGTACTTAATGCGTGTCTGCTGCCTCTTTTTCAATTAACAAGCAGTGGCCATGCTGGAAACCATTTGAAAGATTTTAAAGGGGAAGTCCACCTTGATATTAAGTTGGTTTTAACAAAACAAGAAGAAAAATAAGAGAAATAAATCGCTGCAAATTTGAGCAAAAATCGATTAACAATATGAAAGTTTTGAATGTTCTTAGTTGTCATGAGTGAAATATTAATCGGCAACACTAGACTTTTTTTTTGCGAGCTCCTTTCTTATTTGCTCTTTGAATGTATATGATTGAAAAATTTCTTGAGGGAAAGTATAATTCATTATCATTTTATTTTTATTTTTAAAGGATATGGTAAAAGGGAGGCGAGCTCGCAAGATTCGTCACGGAGGTGCCAATTTGTGCTTGACTGATAACACCTTCAAAAATGCATAACTTTTGCACACTTTCACTAATCTGTTTCTCTCATTGTTCAGCTTATATTAAAGTCTATCTGTACTAGTTAAGCCAGGAGGGATCAGACCTCCCTGCTGGTCACTGGCAGGTGGTTATCTCATCAAATCAGCTCCGAGTCAAATAACATAAGAAATACGGGACCATGGGGGATCAACGGGTACCGCTTATAGCCTAGGCATGGTTGGCTATATTATAGAGGGCGCAAGTAGCTACAAGTAGTGCAAACCTGCATTAAAGGGAGGCTTTACTACTTCAGCAAGAAGGGATTAGACCACCCAGTGAGCCATCGAGGTCACTGTGACAGGTGGCTATCTCATTAACTCAGCTCTCATTTAACATAAGAAAAAGAGGATCATGGGGGACCAACAGGCACCGATTTGGGAAGTTTTCTATATAGAGGGAGCAAGTAGCTACAAGTAGGACAGTGTGCCTTTAACACCAACATAATATCAGGGTAGATTTCTTGGAGCTTGGAGCTCTTTGATATAAGCTGCTCAACAAATGTTTTTAAAGCTCCTGTTACTTGTCAACTTCAAAAGTTGTTTTCTTCTTCTCACAATATACAAAAGCAAACTGAATCCGGTGTTCAAACACGAGGTGGTTTGCGTTTTGCCCCATCCCCTGTGGCTACGGGGGGGGGGGGGGGGGGGGTGGTACAGGGGGTGGGGCGGCACGTGCCCCTAATCGTGTGGCAAACGTGGAAAGTTAAACAAATAAAAAAATCTACTGTTTGCAACTAGAAGGGCATTACATTTTCGCAAATGGTTACACGTCACCGCCCTTCTGGCTCTAAACTGACGAAATAGACAAAGAGAGTGAGAGAAAGAAAATACAAAGATGATACGAAACCCTACTAGCCTCGTTCACTCGAATAGCATCCAATCCCATATGACAACAGTGCAGCCCCCCCCCCCTCCCCTCAGTGGGTATATTGAAGCCACATCACTTACCAAGAACGTTGGATGGACAAAGGATAAACTGAAACAAACGAACAGGGTGCGTTTTGGTTTATGGTAAGCAAAATATAGACATCTATCATCTTGGAAGAACAAGGAAAAGAAAGAGCAGGGAAACTGGGATCAAGAAGAAGAGGAACATGAGGAAGACGAAAGAATAAGAAAAGAAGATGGAGTGTAGAGGAGAAGAAGTAAGAGAAGAATAAAATGCTTAAGAAGAAGAAAAAGAAGAGGAGGATGAAAAAGATGATGAAGTGGCCTTGCAAATTAAAATGCGCAGAGCGTAGTACATTATGCGCCCAAAAGTATTGAGCGCGCGCTACTATAATACCTTATGGATAAATCCTCGATGAGATATCACCGTTTTATTTTTTTTCTCAAATCACTGACGGAAAGGAGAGCAGCCTTAAACTATTAAATCGCCTTGTAAGTACGAATTGTTTGATTATATTATAATGAAAGTTGATAGATTTTATGCAGGCAACGCTATCTTAAATGCGTCAGTTTATCGTTATGTGATGGGGGGGGGGGGGGGGGGGGGGGAGGAGGGCTGGGCAAGGGGCTGGGTGTCCGGACAATTAACAAACATAAGACTTCTCATTTAACAGAAAGTACGTTTCAAATAGCAACAATCAAATACCTATCAAATAGCAACAATCATTATGAAATATTGCTTTTAAACTTCCTCAAATCGCTGTTTTAAATCAACTGTCTGAAAACACAACCTGTCTGGACACACCATGTTTCGGTTTAAAGATCCTTACACGCTAGACTAGACTTAGATCTAGACCTAGACTATATCAGTTTTGGCAGGTTAAAACAAAAAAATCATGCTAGATCTAGGCTTTTTTACCTCTGCGCAGGCAACTTGAGTTTCCATTCTTGGATCTTGGATTCTTTTCCTCCTAAATACTCCGAAGAGTTTTGACTGGAGGGGGTGGAGGGTGGACGATTACATTTTGGAAAAAAAGTTCTTTTTTAACTGCATTTTTAAATGAGAGCGGGGAGGTTTGGTCGATGGTTGCTTGTTGTAGGTTGTTCCATTAAGACATTGCTTACAATCTAAATAAAACCAACTTCCAAAGCTCCATTAATAGCTCTTCCTCTGTTCTGAAAAAGATGTCAAAGGCCGTTAGAAAAAAGAGGATACCGGAGCTACTTCCCACACTGTTATGTTTTGTTTCCATGTTGACCTTAAACAAACCGTTAAGGTTTCCCAGCCAAAAGAACTGACTCTAACAATTAATTGTTATGCAGGTAGCGGATAAATATCCCGCCCTAAAATCTGAAACGCAAACAGTGTCGCCTCTTGGAGACGAAAATAATTGGTCGTTAGCACCAATTTGACGTCCATACAATGGCGGCTAATTGAGACGGTGCACTTCATATCAGGTCGTCGATGGGATCCAATGTAGACCGGAGTCGATCGGTTTCGAATGGATATCATTACTGAGTCATAATATGCCTGTTTATGCATTTATCCTTGAATAGACCTATAGAAGATATTTTGATGATTGGTTGTGAATTTTATAAATATAATTACTACCATGGTGTTTTGAAAGGGGGACAGTTAGTGAGTTACGAGTTTGGTAAGTTTTCAGTCATCATTTTTTTTTCATTTTTTAAATCCTTCCCCCTTCTTCCAATCTGAAGTCTGTATTTCGGGGCGTGTTGGCCACGGGCTGCTCAATATTTTGACTTGAGGGCCGGTAAGTTTATGGTCTGAGGGCCGTTTAATGTGAGATTGGCCGGTTAGTAACGAATTTCCCACCTCACTTTTTTCTGAGCTATAAAGGGTGACGATTTGAAATCACAAAAAGTTCGTGGACCTCTCTTAGAAACACATGTTCATTTTAGAAATGAGTTTTTAAAGATGAAGTTGAGTTCTGGTCATGCGATTGCATTGTGAAAGAAACGGTGTGGAACCGACCAGAAAAGGTTGATCATCTAGCATATAAGAATTTGTGTGTATTGCAAGGTTCTGGAATCATCAAAATGATAAGAAATATGGCCAAGTCTTGGTAAAGTTACAAACACTATGGGACTACACGAACACGTGGCGTAAAAAGCCGGCCCCCAATTTTTACGATGTTACATGCATATTTAGAATATGAAGGCATTTGAAGAGCCATGCTTTTCAGGGAACATGTCTTAACTGATGTTCTTTCACATTTGCATAATAAGAATGAGTAATGCTCACAAATTATTTTTCACCTCTTCCTAGAACTCAACCTTCTCTTTAATGAGATTTGACCGATTCGAAATTATCAATATTTTCAACAATTTTTGATGCATGAGACAGGCTTGTTTGTGTTCATTTTTCTTTCCCTGTTGTCTCGAAATTATTAAATATGTCTTTTTGTATGAATGTGTCTATCCATACCATGTAAATGCCACAAATTGCCATCTCCGAACGGACAACAAAGATGAACCTTATTTACCCTATAAAAATGGTTCCAGGATCACGCCTTCATTGGAATCTTAGCTCAGCGTCTTTTTTAAATACATTTCAAGTTCACTGTTGCTCGTTAAGTTGGAATAATGTTTCTTACTGTTTTCATGAAGTGATTGTGGCATTATTCTTGAAAGATAAATACCTAGAAACAGTATACTTTATCTATCAAGAATAAATATTGTCAAAATCATATTATGAAAAAGTAAGACAAAATTATTCCAACTTTATGGGCAAAAGTGTAGGTCATTCTGTAAACAGAAATTAATCGACGAACATGATCCACTTGATCTAGTCTACGCGGTGAACAATAATGAAACCTTCAATCTGCACGGAATATTGATTTATCGTCCCTTATCAAAAGCGCGCATTTTGTCAATACATGTCGGAACTTTTTTTTGGAGCTCAAATCGATTGCGATCTTGACTGCGGTTATCGATCATCGGTCATGACAAATCCGTCTGTTCCATTAAGTGTTTCGTTCAATTAAACTCATGTTAAGCTTGACTAGTGCATAACAGGAGAATGTTATTGTGATATCATGGGCACTCTGAGGAAGGCGTATCGAAGTGCACCGAGTGATATATTAATTTCATGTCGTTATCTCCTTTGACTTCGGACTTTGGATAATAGGCCTAATTATGTTTTATCAAAGCCGATCGACAGCTCATAGATATAATTTTTTGCCTTGTTAATAATACATAGTTTTGTGTTTCTCCCTTGGTCAAACACCCAGCCACACTGAATCTGATGGGACTTTTGTCTGTGGAGCCTTGTGTAGATCCTATAAAGGTAAGTCATCTCGGCCTTGATTTTGACCCTTTTTGTTAAATATGGTCCATGCATCGATGTGTTGTGTGGAACACAGACAAGTTCACGTTCTAATACTATCTCGAGGCCTTTGTTTCACGATCGTCACATTTCACAATAAAGAATGGGTATTATTCAAATCATCCTCGTTTTTCAAATCGCACGGCTAGATAGTGGACTTAATTGTTTCAGACCTTTCGAAGACCCATCCATTCTGTCACTCTGTACTTCAAGATGGTAATAAACTTACCAAACATATAAAACAGTGAAATTAACATAACTATTATCAAAAGAGTGATGATAATACATCATACAAGTATTTGATACGTTTATGGCGCTCCTATCCACCAGGTAAAAATTCCTCCAGGTGCCCCAATACTCCCAGCTCTCGCTGGACTACCGATTTCGGTTTCACATACCATATTTGACATTTATTCCTACCACTGGGAAATAGATTGTCTTGCCGAATGTCAATAGTGACGTGGAGGGGTTCGAACCCAGAAGTTTCCCACCTTTGACTGTGACACCCCTTTTTGACATCAACAAAATCTTCTCAAATAGTTGAGCTTTATTAAAAATCATGTTCAAATTGTTGTCTTCGTATTTTCTTATTCCTGAATAGATTTAACCTTTCGATGGAACTTTATGGGATGTGAAAAGAAAAGCGGGAAAACGACTGGATTTTGACCGATAATATGCAGGGCCGCTACGGTTATGTGTTGTCTGAACCCGTTGTTATCTTGGGGAAGGGCCGACAGTGTGTCGTGAAACTTGCAACGTCGACGCGTTACCAAACTCCGCGCAAAGTCGCCATCAAAATCAATTTGCCGTCACGGTCGTCTGCTCGGGAATCCGAGATACTCTTCAAACTCAACCATGAGAACGTCGTGGAGATCTTCGACTACTTCGTCTTCCAGGATCACTCGTATATCGTCCTCGCGCTGGCTGAAAACGGTGACATGCGGAACTTCGTCCGGCAACGGGGTCGCCTGGGCGAGGCTTTGGCGCTGAAGATGTGCGAACAGATTTTTGAGGGCGTGGCCTACCTGCACGATACCGCTTCTGTTGCGCACTGCGATTTGAAATGCGAGAATGTGCTCGTCGATGAGCGAGAGGATGTGAAGATTGCCGATTTTGGACTCGCGGTAGAAATCGCGGTTGGTTCGAATGGAACATCTCAACCACGCAGAACTTCAAATTCACGTAACCATGGTGACAGTCAGAATGGAGTTTCCGACTCTTGCTCTAGCAGGGCTGAAAGCATTTCGCCCATCCCGCAAGGAATCGCGTCGTTAGGCGGTTCTCCCGCGTACGCGGCTCCCGAGGTTTTGGACTCCCGCGTCACAGACTTACGCGCGGCCGATGTCTGGTCAGCCGGGGTCATCACATTCTTTATCCTCACCACCTACTTGCCATTCGGTTGCTATGGAAACAAGAACATTCGGGAAGCAATGAACAGACCTCTCCGCTGGCCGCGACCTCTAAAACAAGTTAAGAAATCGGATCGAACATTCGTGCAATCTGCGTTGGTTTTGAAGCCGAGTGAGCGACCTACTGCACGAGCTCTTCTTGAAAGACTTCAAAGAATGCAGCCCTCAACGTCATAACAACTCGCTTATTTAACAACAAAGTCAATATAGATATTATGTGGTACTGTGATAGTTGTCAATGATGGGGCTTCCTAGTTCAGAGAACAAGGGTTTTGCTAAGCAATTTTGAGTTGTCGGCGGGTGGGGGAGAATGTCTATTTTGTACTCTCTGCAAAATATAGACGAGCCCCTATCCTACATTTAATTTGTTAGGAAATTATTTATATTGGATTGTATGATTGGACAAATGCAGGTAGCATACTACTTTACCACCATGTTGTGAAGGGATCAAAACAACGAAACCCAACACATTTGTCTTTTAACACAATCGTAGTTCATGTACACATTTCCGTATGTTGCTAAAGATATATCACTTGATTATATTTTCATCATTATATTGTGCACATATTTTAATCTCAAAATGCTCGAAGAAAATGGTAAAGATTATATATTTTTTTCCCGTTTGACTTTTTGTGCACCTGCAGAAAAAATGACAACCTAAAGTGAAACCTAATCCATTGTATTAAATATCAGTGGCTATAAACCCCCTATAAACAAGTGGATGGAAATGAATGTTGTGATTATATTCCATTATATCAACTCAAACCAATTATAACATGCTCTGTAAATCTGTATTTTTAATGAATTTACTTTTTTCCGCAATGTTTTCCTTCTATGAGAATATCAATTTTGATTATTTTATTACAAATTTATACAGATTAAAAATTGAGCTTTTGTCTACCCTGACTTATACGATTGACTGTTGCTTTGGTCACTTTCATCTTTGATTTATTCTTTGGTTAGATAATTACAGAACCCATCAATTAGTCCTTCGCACACTGTACAATCCGAATGCATCCAAATTCAGATGGCTGGGCAGGGTTTCACAAACCCATAACAAGTGCAAGTTTAAGTTCAAGTTTACCGACATTCAATACATTTACATACCGGTATATTTTGATGGATTTTGGCAAACTTGTTCTATTATAGTTTTGTGAGACGCTGCTCCAGTTGCTTTGTCATTAAAAAGAGAGCAGTAACAGCGGTATCATTACATGTGGGAGTGTCGTGGGAGTGTCGTGGGAGTGTCGTGGTAGAGTGGTTTAGGGTACTTGACTGTAGATGCGAAAGTTGAGGGTTCGAATCCCGAGACGGCACTAATATCCTTTGGCAAGATATTAACCTATGCACTGCCACTTTCCACCACGGTGTTAAAATGGGAACCCGGTAGGATGCGACCGTCATTGTTGGTCAAACAGTTTTGAGCGTCAAGTAACACATGGCTGGAATGCTCCCCAGAGAGTGGATACAATGTGTGCACGGGCAAGCACTGAATCCAATGACTGGGGTAATAGTGTATCCGTAAAGCGCTTAGAGACGTCCGAGACGTATTAAGTGCTATATAAAAGCTGAATATTATTATGTAAATTCAGACATGTTTTTTACTCCATCTGCTTGAAGTTTGTGACAGTCATACAAAATAGTAAAATTAATAAAATAAGACCATAACTCAGAGATAATTGGTCTTTTCTTAGAAAGAAAGGGTCGATGCGCATTCGAATTTGATTGAAATGACAAAATAGAACCCGAATCAAGACAATTATCATACTTCTATTTTCACATCTCTCGACTGCACTTTCTTCCTTTGGAACACAGCTGTACCATAAAGGGTGATGTTACATATTCATATTTTTGTTTGCCGTCAAGGCTCATTCATATTTCTTGTTCTAAATATATGTTGCAACTTAGGAAGTAAACATGAAATGAGACAACCAAATTTTGACACTAGACGGATAGTAGATAGAATTTAATTGATAGGTTGGTACTCTACAAGAGAAAGTTACAAAAGCATGAATTCATTTTTTTTCTCCATTTCTACATTGTACATCAAAATAGGCCACTACACCTTTTTAATCATGAAAAATAGTAATTAATTAGTAATCAAGAAGTAATTTTACAGTGCAATGTTCATGTGATTAACTCACAGCAACCTTTTTATCACGTAAGTTCAAACTTATTGCAAAACATAAGTAACAAAATTATACAAAGCAACCCAATACAATTTACGCTGATACCTCCTCTTCATTTTATAGATATTAAACATGGCTTATCATTAGCTGTTCATTTTGCATCTTCAAAGCTCATGTTTTCAACCATACTTCATCCCTGCACAGAGAACTCCTCCAGTTTCAATTAGGACAAAACGATGAAATTCCAAGTCTCCTCAGTCTCACAGAATACAAACAAATTCACACTGAATGTTCAGAGCGTTTATTATATGACATTTTGCCAGGTGTAGTCCCAGATGTGTATTTCCATGTCTGTGCTTTTCAGTGAGTGAACTTTTCTTCATGCTTTCATCACTCTGCATACTACATGGTGCTTGTCAAAACAAAGCAGCGGTGAACAAATTCAGTTACTGTATCTTCCTGTTTGCTGTTGCATAACCACTCCTCGAAATTACCTCCGTATTCTGATTCTAATTATGTTTCCACATATTCTTTTCCAATTTTATTACAATAAACAGAACAATATCAATGTTTTGTTCTATTTACGAATGTAAGGTTACAATGAGCATGCCACATCTGCTCTCGTAATGTTCTATTCCAACTAACCAGAACTGTTACATAATTAGAGCATTCTTAAGATAATCATTTAACATAAATAGAAAAAAGGTGACTGTTGAAACGCTTCTTCAGCCGTTAACACTAATGCTAGCTTGTGTGTATGGGTTCATGTGTAAATATGAAATGCAATGAAATGTGAATTCATAATAAAAAACTTTATGAAAACATGAAATTATGTAAACCAATATCATTCTAAGTTCATGACTAGAAGATTACTTATACTAAGCGTGACAAGATTTCTTACAGATAATACTTCCTCACAATTTTTGAGAAACCACCAACATAATTCCAACAGAAAATAATTTAGAATACAGCATAGAAGCACAGCGGTACAGCCCTACTCCTCCATTCGCACACCTCTTACCATGATCATACAATACAATCCTGAAAAACCAAAACCAAAACCAAAAAATCAAAAACATGACAATTTTAGGTTACGTCTTAATAAAAATAAACCTAAAAACCATTGGAGACTTGCATCAGCCTACTTTCACAAAATATTTCAAGCAACATCAATGGTATAGGGCCCTGTATCATAAAATTCATTTTCGGGTTAAAGGTTACAATAACTGTTATAAGCTACTGAAATCAATGGATTTGATTGGTCGATTGTGAACTTGTTACAGAAACATGACTGACAATATGTTTTGTGAAACAGGGCCTAGCTTTTCACTGGTTTTTCACAAGTATCACATGGCTCGTTACAGATTCAATATCTCCAGCTTTACTTACATGAATCTTCCAAAATATACAGACAATAAGGTTTACGAATCTTAGTCAAAATCAAAATTACACAAAGCTAAAAATCTGACAGATTCTGAGGATATATTCTTGAATCCCTCTATTACTCTTACAAAAGCAATAATTTTATCAATGCTAGGTTTACAAATATCTACATGGATTTAGACTGTAGAAGGCATTAAGAAAATATACATGCATCTGGGCATAATTTTTTCATTTCATTGCAGGATTCCAATTATTTACTCTTTGTCTGTCCTTGTCTCATAAAACTTGATATCAATAACAAGCGAAGATAACTGTTCAACTAAAATAGTTGGCATTTGATTGGCTGTGAACAAATTTGTTATCTAAATGAGACACTAGTTATTATTGATGAAATGTTTTGTTGCCCTTTTTCAAAGAATACTTCCACCTGTGTATCACGGAGTGCACTGTGTGTGCATAAATGAAAAATGATAACATAACTTTCATGAGCACGTATCCAGTATTTTATCTACGTGTATTTCACAATTTGGTCTGCAAATACCTTTATCTGCTCATGCTCAGACTGCAACTATGAACTGGCTTATTGTCACAGGAGAATTAGCTTTTTGTTCCAAGTGTACTTATCTAGTTTAATAATGTATGTAAATGTACGCTTCATCATTTATTTCCTAAATAGGTGATAGAGTGGAATAAATAAACAACAGTTTTATACTTCATGCAATGAAATAATCAATAAACCATCTTTTACTGTATACACAATAAATTGCTTAAACACACAAAGAAAATTTACAAACATTCAAGTCTCGTTCAGGTTTAATATGACGCAGCAAAACCTGTGTTTAACTCATATCCTGCCATAAGGCCCCATGCACGCCACAGTTATAGTGCTTTGTACACGCGAGCACGCTTTCGATTAGAGGCTTAATTACGCGAGCGAGCCACAGCTGAACTGCTTCATGCATGCATGCTCGCATTTGTAATAGCAGTTATTGTTCATGCTCATTGTAGAGTGCCGAGTGCTTCCCACGCGCTATTGATCGCACCATCAGATTATCTTGAAATAAACTTGGCACAAGGGGGATTTGTGGCTTGGCACAACGGGGATTAGCCCTGTGGCACTGGGCTGTATTCATTATCGCAGGATAAGAGTTTTTAAAAAAAAAAACATCGCAACGGTTAACCGCATCATATCTGAACGAGCCTTCAGGTATCGAAAGACCTTTCCACAACCACTTTTCATGAAGTCTGACGCTATCTTTGAAATAACATGGAAAACAGATAAACTACATGTATATTTTATAAACACACATTTGCAGATTTAAGGAATTTCCATTGAAATGAGCAAATAAAATCATAGAAAAAAATTGCAAAATATCAAAGACTTTATCAAGGCCCTTCATCATATTTACAATACGTTTAAGATGCAGGATAGAGTAGTATTAATCGATGGGAAATTTGTCTCTGAGCGGTTAAAAACCCAACAACAAACGACAAAAAAAAACACAAATATTAGTTATAAAAAGAGCATGTGATGTAATATCATAATGGGAATTTGTTCTATAGTTCCAACAAAATGTGGTCATACCATTGGGTATTGTTTGTTTGTTGTGAAATAAAATTTCCAGTTTAACCTTTGTTTTAGCTTACATATAATTATTTATGCTTAGCGATCCCATTTTTTTCTATTATCGAGGAGATTTGATGTTCTTGATGTAGAATTTATGAAAAGTCGAAAATACTTCAATTTTTGCTTTTGAATTCATTTTATTTGAAGGCCACAAATGGTTCTCCATAATGTTCAAGTCCAACTTAGAGTGAAGTTCGACTTGGGATCTTTGTGAAACACCCCCCTGGTTTCATATCAAGAGCTAGGGAATTTCAAAAGATGAAGAGAGAAGCAGCATTTTGTAGAGGTCTTCAGAACTTCTAAGCTCTTAACACGCTACAAATAAAGTTACTTACTAAAATTAGGGAGATTATCTATATGCAAATCACAAGGCACTGCACTAATGATGAGTAACGAAATGCTTGAGAAAAGCCCAAGCACCTTTTGTCACTATCTATTTCTTAGTATAAGAGGCAATGGCTTGGAGGGTGCTTCACAAAGCATTTCATCAATGACAAATTACAAAAATCAGTGACAAATCTGTTGATAACCAATCAGAAGCAAGGATTTTTGTAGCTTTAACAACAACTGTTATTTGTCACCGATGACAAGTTTTGTGAAACGCCCCCCTGATCTTGACTATCCCACTGTTCATTTATATCAAAAGAATGGTTCTCATCTTAATTCTTGCCCCCCAAAAAGATTTTTGTTGTCAAATAATTCATAGTAACATAAATTTAATTTCTAGAAAATATGTAAAAACAACCGACATATATATTCGGCAGATGTTTGAAGGAAAAACCCCAGGATATGAGCAACGTCATAGTTCTGACTTCTGCCTTTCGAAGTGCTTTCATGATTCGCCATCATGCCGTACATTGGTCACACTCTACAACATACTTTGATAAAAATTTCAAACTTATTGAAAACCTTCCAGTGTATTTACATATTCCAAATAGTTCAAATAATATGGAACAAATATTAAAAGTGGTTAAATCCTGTATATATATATTCACAAGCCCTTACGTTTCCTCTATGCTTACGATGATTGGGGGAAGTCCCTCTTCTGGGGAAAGTCCCAATTTGTTGCCTCATCAATCGACCTTGACTGAGCCATAGATCTTGGTGACAAACCAGAAGCAAGCAAAGAATCCCATGGTACCTGCAAAGTGAAAACATAACAGGAAAGAATTGTAAAGATTGTGGCACAGTCCTATTAACAATTTGAAGGGCTAATACAACAATGATAGCAAAATGATATGTATAAATTGAAGGGGGAGGGGGGGGGGGGGGGAGGGGGGGGTGCAAAGTGGTTTGTTTGGCTGCAGAAGTTTACCACATGTGAGAATGAGGCTTTAGGGGGAGGGGGTAAGCATCACTGTAGACAGGTGGCATTTCTAGAGAGGTTGGCACTGTAGAGAGGTTTGGACTGTTACACTTACCACTGAAGAGGAAGAAGAGGATAACCATGATGATTGTGTATCCAAAGTAGAGGACAGTGCTGGCCCAGCCGTGCAGGGTCAGTTTGGAGGCAAAGTAGTGAATGCAGTAGATGAAGAAGTAGATGGCGGTGAAACCACTCGTCATGAAGGAGCGCCACCACCAGTGATAATCCTAGAACAAAACAAACAAGGCAGCAAACATTTAAATGCAGATCGATGACAATAAACTTAGCTTTCTGAATCATTCTAATCATACTGATTATTCCTGATGTACCCTTTTTAAAAAACTAGTTTGCTGACAAAGACTCAAATTTGGCGCACTAACACAATTCCATAAAGCACTGCCCCTCGCCTAACTCTGTGAGTCACCGGCTGTGACAGCAGCAGCTACTGTACATGGCCTACAGAGGGCAGTAGACAGTGATGTCTTCACCCATTGCTTAGGGGAAATGGCTGCTCACTGTACTTATGGGAACAAGATAATTTCATAATCAAGTGGTTAACAGACATTCAGTTCTGACACTCTGTTAAACATCTGGACTGTTATTGGTTTGTGCCTGCAAACTACTTTTTGTATACATTTACATGCTATAATCAGGGCCTTGTTTCATAAAACTTTGTATTAATAACAAGATACAATAGCTGTTATAAGCTACTGAAATTGTGGCATTTGATTGGCTGAGAGCAAATTTGTCATAGAATTCAGCACTTGTTATTGATGACAGGTTACATGAAACAGGGCCCTGACTTCACTATCTAAAAAATATGTAACTCATTGGCTACAGTTAACTGTAATTATTTCCATACACACACAAGTCGTCACTGAACATTTTCCTCATATTGGTACTTGCAACAGCTCCACAGTTATTCTCACACAAACTAAACTACCCATAATATGTCCATAAATGGAGACAAAAAGAGAGAAAGAGGGAAAGAGAGAGAGAGAGAGAGAGAGAGAGGGAGAGAGAGAGAGAGAGAGAGAGAGAGAGAGAGATAAGAGAGAGAGAGAGAGAGAGGGGGGGGGGGGGGGGGGAGAGAGAGAAAAAAAGAAAGAGAGGGAGAGATAAGAGAGAGCGAGAAGAGAGAGAGAGAAAGTGGAGAGAGAGAGAGATAAAAAGAAAGAGAGAAAGAGAGACTGCTTACCTCGGCACATAAATGGAAATAGCAGAGGAGAATGGTTGCTTCAGAGCAAGTGATGACCAAGATGATAGCCACCAAGAACAGGAAACCAAACATGTAATAGAACTGGTGGGACCTGGTAAAAGAAAACAATCAAATAAAGTATCGCATTTTGGGTCCAGAATTTAAATTAGTCTTATAAATAACTTTCTAATTTTTGTTCTTCAATATGACTATTTTGGGGTACATCGGACATTTGTTATGACAGAAAAGCCTGCATTAGAAATGTTGTTTTTGTTGTTTTAATCAAAACTTATCTGACCAAGATATTTTCATTACTCTGTATGTATTAAAGCATATTAACTGTACCAACCACATTATTCACTAGTATTTCAGTACTATAACTACTAAAAACAATAATAAAACAGATAGGGTAATCATGAAATCCCTTATAGGCACATCATCTACATCCTCCATACAGATCAAAAACGTTCAATCCATGTTGCCATGGTAATGGATAACTTACCAGATGCTATTTAGGATGAAGAAAAGCTGGATGAAGATGCATCCAAAGGGCAGGATACCACCCATGATGATACCTGGGAAGGGGCGGGTGTAGAAAGACTGCTCGGGGATCTGACGAGGGATCTGATTGGTGCGTACAGGGAACTCGATGGGCTGTCAACAAATACAAAGGGTTCATATTTAGAATGTCATGAATGGCTAGAAGTACATGCATGCACTTACAATTTCATCTTGGTCCTTTCATCTCTGGGATGGCTACCAGAATGCTAAAAGGGATGGCTGCAGAACTATGTTCGTACCACAGGAGGTTGAGGATGAAGAAGATACAAACTAGATGGAACTTCGACTGCGCGCAGTCGAAAATGATGCCTCCGTCATAGAGCAAGTTTACAAACCAAAAAGCAATTTCTCACATATATGACCCTTTGATCTTTGACCTCATGACCCTAAAATGTACTTAGTTCATTGGCTCTGCAAGATGTCCCGAGTTAAATAGTAATCCATCTGTCAGTTCTAATGAGAATGCGTTCACAAGCTATTTTTGCATACATAATGAGCCCATGACATTTGACCTTTGACCTCATGACCCAAGAATCTACTCAGTTCATTGGCTCTGCAAGATACATACATGATCTAAGTTTGGCAGGAATCCATCAATCTGTTCTAATGATAATGCGATCACAAGCTATTTTTGCATACATAATGAGCCGCATGACCTTTGACCTTGACCAAGACCCCAAAATCTAATCAGTTCATCGGCTCTGCAAGTACCATACATGACCTAAGTTTGGCAGGAATCCATCAATCGGTTCTTGAGATAACGCGATCATGAGCTGTTTTTGCATACATAATGAGCCATGTGACCTTTGACCTCGTGACTCCAAAATCTAATCAGTTCATCGGCTCTGCAAGATACATACATGACCAAAGTTTGGCAGGAATCCATCAATCAGTTCTAATGATAATGCGATCACAAGCTATTTTTTGCATACATAATGAGCCGCATGACCTTTGACCTTGACCAAGACCCCAAAATCTAATCAGTTCATCGGCTCTGCAAGTACCATACATGACCTAAGTTTGGCAGGAATCCATCAATCGGTTCTTGAGATAACGCGATCATGAGCTGTTTTTGCATACATAATGAGCCATGTGACCTTTGACCTCGTGACTCCAAAATCTAATCAGTTCATCGGCTCTGCAAGATACATACATGACCAAAGTTTGGCAGGAATCCATCAATCAGTTCTAATGATAATGCGATCACAAGCTATTTTTTGCATACATAATGAGCCGCATGACCTTTGACCTTGACCAAGACCCCAAAATCTAATCAGTTCATCGGCTCTGCAAGTACCATACATGACCTAAGTTTGGCAGGAATCCATCAATCGGTTCTTGAGATAACGCGATCATGAGCTGTTTTTGCATACATAATGAGCCATGTGACCTTTGACCTCGTGACTCCAAAATCTAATCAGTTCATCGGCTCTGCAAGATACATACATGACCAAAGTTTGGCAGGAATCCATCAATCAGTTCTTGAGATAACGCGATCACGAGCTGTTTGTGCATACATAATGAGCCCTGTGACCTTTGACCTTGTGACCCCAAAATCTAATCAGTTTATCGGCTCTGCAAGATACATACATGACCAAAGTTTGGCAGGAATCCATCAATCAGTTCTTCAGATAACGCGATCACGAGAACGGGACGTACGGACGGACGGACGTACGGACGGACGTACAACCCGAAAACATAATGCCTCCGGCTACTTCGTAACGGAGGCATAAAAATTATGAATAAACCATGATAGGGTAAATCACTTACCCTCTTCTTGAAGCCAAAGCCAAAGCCAAAGAGGCACTGATTAAAGATAAACTTGAGTACTGGTAATGCAATTGCATTGTGAAAGAAAAGGTGTGGAATGGATCAGAAATGTTGATCATATAGCATGTAAGTAATGGTGTGTAATGCAAGGTTCTAGAGTCATCAAAATCATCATAAATTTGGCAGAGTCTTGGTAAAGTAACAATCACTTACACAGATAGATGTATATGGGACAACACACATGATGTCGGGGCTAGTACTACCCTGATTTCCTTATCTTTCTATGCTCATTACTCAGTCAGTATACATTTTCTTCCAAAATTGTTTGGCACATGACATTTATTTGTAATATTGAACATTCAGTGTAAGTTTCGTTAGATTCTGTGAGAATTCATTTTCATTTTTTACCAGAACTCAAGTTTATCTTTAAGACCAGGAGGTAAGGCGTAAGAAGCAATGTGGCAAAAGATGGCTTCCTCCTAAGGAAAAGAGTCTTTTTAACACTATGATCACTTACCCGCTTCTTGAAGCCAAAGCCAAAGAGGCACTGATAAAGATCAGGAGGTAGAGCGTAAGAAGCAATGCAGCAAAAGATGGCTACCTCCTAAGGAAAAGAGTCTTTCTAAAACTATGATCACTTACCCGCTTCTTGAAGCCGAAGTAGGCACCGATGAAGACCAAGGGGGTGGAGACAAAGAACCAGAGAGCCAAGACGGCCACCAAGGTGCTGAAGGGGATGGCTGCAGAGCTGTGCTCATACCACAAGATGAGATTGAGGATGAAGAAGATACCGAAGATGATGCCTGGGATGAGGAAACTGGTAGAGAGGACGTTAGACTTCCAGCGCTCACCACCAAATGCTGTAAAATAAGAAATTAGTTAATGATAAGAAGGGCGGAATGACATGGCTATCTATCTGGCTGGAAACGCTAGTATTATATAGTTTTAATGTTCACACTTTGCAATTTCACTTATAATCACTTTATTTCAGATAATCGGCTTTTTAATTGCTAATCATCATATAGTTTAAAAGAGGGAAAGCGAGTTCACACTATGCACTTTCTTTTGAAAGCATTTATTCAGATAGAGGCTTGAGCTTTTGCTTCTTTCCTTGTATTTCATTTTTTCTCATTTTATTGTTGTTGTCCAATTGTTATTATCAATCTGGCATACCAGTTGGTTTTACCAATTTAGCCTTAAAAGATACCCAGAAATACTGGACTTGCATAAATTCTGTACAAAATCAATCCTGAAAAAAAAATATGTACAGAGAAATGACTAGGCCTAAACAAGAGTAACCCTGCCAAGAGGCATCCCTGTAAACTAAAAAGCGGGCAGAAGGAACTTACTCTTGTATATATTCTAGTTGCTCTAACAGTTATTATCAATCTGTTCTTGGGGATACCTGTTGGTTTTACTCATTTAGCCTGAAAAGATACCTGGAAATATTGTAGCTACCCATCATTCTGTACAATATCAATACAGAAAAGTGGCATCCGTGTGAACTCCACAGAGGGCAGAAGTCACTTACTCTTGTATATTCTGGAGGAGACGTATCCAGCAATGAATCCCAACAGGACATAGAGAACCATGACACAGGTCATCAGAGAACCACGGTTGGCTGGCGACAAGAATCCCAGACAAGCAAAACCTTGAGGACAAATTTAAAAAAAAATTGAAAATACCATATAAGAGAAGAGTAATAATAATAATAATAATATTTAGCTTTTATATAGCGCTTAATACACTGTCTCTAAGCGCTTTACAAATATACTATTACCCCGGTCATTGGATTCAGTGCTTGCCCGCACACACTGTGTGCACGTTCTCCACTCCCTGGGGAGCAATCCAGCCAGGCTTTCCAATTTAAGTTCATGAATGGTGAACCCAAAGGAACCTTTTTTCTTGTCATTGTTCTTGAATGTAATCAAATCAAAGTGATGTCGAAATACTATCTGATGACAGATTCCAATACCTGTTTTTATCAATCAAAAACCTGGATACAATAATCCCAAGAATTGTCTTGCCAGAACTTCTGTAAATTTTTAAGCACAGCTCCTTTCGCAATAACTCTTTCTCTACTTGCACAAACTTTGTGCCATTACTCGACATGAAAACTTTCAAAACTGAACCACTGGCAAGTTTTATAAAAGCTGCTGGTTTTGCAGTATCACAGTAAGTATATAGTTAAACCCATCTTGATGGACACCTCTCTGTTAAGTCCTCAATGTCTTCCTTAAGGAAGTAAGGGTCTGTCTAGAAGAACCACCTCTCTACTGAGCCCACTGTTTCTGTGTCTCACGGGTGACCTTCACAGACAGGTTTGACTAAATTACTGTTTTTCTTGGCTGTTTCATGAAGCGTTTTTTCTTTAATAACAAGAGCTACTGAAATCCTGACTTCCATTTGATTGGCCATAAGTAGATTTGTTGTAGACCTAGCGCCATGATTGTCGCTGGACGGTGTGTGCGCTCTACTCCACTCCTACAATTTTCTCTTTCTCTTTTCTTTTCACCATGCCTACTCATTCTAATTATTTTCTTCTGTAATACTGAGCCCCCCCCTCTCTCTCTCTCTCTCTCTCTCTCTCTCTTTCTCTCTATGTATTCCTTTCCTATGATATTTTACTCTGGTCTCATCTATCTCATCTTCTCTTAACTGTCGGCATATGGTTATGTGTGTGTGTGTGTGTGTGTATGCTAGGGTGTTTGTATGGGTGTGTGTGGACGTGTACCTGTATCTGTCTATTTATAGTAGCTGTTAAGATGATCATAATTACATAATTTATATGTAATTTGCTGTTTTATAATTTTCTCAAATGTCTAGATATTTCTCTAACAAAGTTGTAAAGTTTATATTGTAAACCGGGGCCCTGCCTACAAGCAACTTGCTTATTAAGGGTATCCCTCCACGTTTATGTTTATATTGTTTTTTTAATACAATGTGTCAATACTATGTTATATTTGTTCTTTTTTTAAAGATGGAAAATAAATTGAAATTGAATTGAAATTGAATTGAAATCAAACACCTAACACTATTATTATTATTATTATCTGAGGCAGTTGTTCTTGATAACAAGTTTTATGAAACAGGGGCCTGACTTACCAAGTGTGATGAAGGACATGATGACAATCTGGGCTCCGGTTCCTAGGAAGATGGAGAGGAGCATACCGCTTCTCGGTGGCCTGAACACATCACCATGGACAAGCTTCCAGCCAAACTCTTCCTGGGCCTCTTCCTACGGGGACAGAATAAATGATAAAGACTTGTTCATGGACAGTGAAGCACAATGGATCAACAGGGTTTGAGTCCCTGCCGCAGCTTTGACTTCCTTTGGCAAGATTAATCAACATTTGCAAGACTCGACCCACATGTAGGTACCTGGGGGGTGTTTCACAAAGATCCTAAGTAGAACTTAACATTAAGTTCGACTTAAAAATTATGGACAGCCATTGGAGCCTTAAAATGAAATATATTCAAAAGTGAAAATTCAAGTATTTTATACTTTTTATAAATTCAAAATCAAGAACATGAAATCTCCTTGATAGTAGAAAATATGAATGATTAGAATCAACATCTAAGAGCAGAGACAGAACATGCAGGCCGTGTGTTTTGCCTCTGCTCTTAGACCAATATTATTAATTTCAAAGTCATGAAAAGGCACTAAATATCAACAAACATGGTCTACAACAACTCTAAATGACAAAATAATCCCAGCCGTGAATTTTTTTTGAGCATTTGATAGCAACAAAGTTGAAAATTTTCGTCATTAAAAAAAAAAAAAAAAAAAAAAAAAAAAAAAATCAGCTGATTTTTTGGTTGATCTTCCGATCCGATACCGATCAAAGGTGCGAGGGTGTCGCTCCGATCTTCCGATCCGATCCGAGCCCTAACTGACAGGGTTAGTTTCCTGCATCACGTGTGGAGAAATGTTAGGACTCATAGGCTCGTAATCCTATGTGTGGACTAAGTTTAGTCAGTTTCAACTTAGTTACTGCAACTTTGTTTAACCAAGTTCATAAATACTTGGTTCCACTTCATTTGTTCCACTTGGTTTAGTCATTCATGGAGTCCTGAGTGTCAAACCCTTTATTCTGTACCAATTACTTTTATTCTGTTACAAAATGATTCAATGTAATACATCTTGTCATGAAATGAAAATGAAAAATTCATTCCACAATGGCATGATTTTAGTTGACTTTGTTCCAGATTAAACAGTAATCTATCCATTTGCAGCCTTCAAAGGAGATGTCAGGACTGAAATTAATATTGAGCCTGAAAATTGGAATCGTGGTCTGTTATGTATGGGACACGTTCATCTTGGACCTGCCTAGTTTTAAAGATTCAACCAAACTTACCAGATCCTGTTGATTGTATCGAGAGATATCCTTGTGCAGTGTCCTCAGCATGATCATGGCTACCATACCAGACAAGAACAGGACGATCACCAGGGAGTTCATAATACTGTAATGTGGAAGAGAAACGGTTTAAACAAACAGTACAGGAAGATGTCTTTTAGCAGTGTCCTTTGCATGATCATGGCTACCATACCAGACCAGGGAATAATTTTCCTGGTATCGCATCGCAATTTGCTATGCATTTTTGCATGACTGCTATACAAAATATCTTTTGTGTAGCAGTTTTCTTTCATAGAAATGTACAGAATTTCATTTGAAATATTTATCCATCGGCTGAAATTGCTAATCAAAAAATTTGAGGAAAATTATTCCCTGCAGACAAGAACAGGATGACCCCCAGGGAGTTCATAATACTGTAATGTGGAAGAGACAAAATGGTTTAAACAAATGGTACTGGGAAGATGTCTTTGAGCAGTGTCCTCTGCATGATTATGGCTACCATACCAGACAAGAACAGGATGACCCCCAGGGAGTTCATAATACTGTAATGTGGAAGAGACAAAATGGTTTGAACAAATGGTACTGGGAAGATGTCTTTGAGCAGTGTCCTCAGCATGATTATGGCTACTAAACCAGATGGGAACAGGACAATGAACAGAGAGTTCATAATATTGTAAGGTATGAAATACAGAATGGTTTAAATATATGGTACTAGGAAGATGTCTTTGAGCAGTGTCCTCTGCATGGTTATGGCTACTAAACCAGATGGTTACAGGACAATAACCAGAGAGTCCATACTATTTGTAAGGTATGAGAAACAGAGTGGTTTAAACAAATGGTACTGGGATGATGTCTTTGAGCAGTGTCCTCTGCATGATTATGGCTACTAAACCAGATGGGAACAGGACAATAACCAGAGAGTCCATACTATTATCAGGTATGAAATACAGTATGGTTTAAACAAATGGTACTGGGAAGATGTCTTTGAGCAGTGTCCTCTGCACGATTATGGCTACTAAACCAGTTGGGAACAGAGCAATCACCAGGGAGTTTATATACATATATATAATACTTTTATTTGGATGAAACATAAGAATCCCTACAAACATTAATGGGGAAAGGTATTAGCAACCCCCATTATGCACAAATATAAAGTTTCTCTTATTCACTTGATAATTAGGTAACCAAGGGAAATGGAGTGGCATGTAAAGATGCATTCAGAAAACAAAACTATGCATTGTTATCTTACCTGAACCATTGGATGTTGGTATGTGGCATGGACTCTAGGATGTAATCCCAACGTGATGCCCAACGCACTTGTTGGTTTGGCTGCATAAAAGCAAGAGAAAAGGATTCTGATGAGTTCTACATAGTAATAATTTATCTGTAACTAAGTAACTGTAACTAAAGTCTCTAATTGGCAACACAGTGTGTAATATAAATTTGCTATTTTTGTTAACAAATTGGCAATTTTATTGGATCGATTTTGCAAACATTGGTTCATTTAATAAAGATTTTTAATTTTTTTCCAAACTATGAAGGTGTGGAATATAGGATTAATTGTTGCAAATTGAAGAGGGAATAGTAATTAATTTAGAAATTAAGAAAACTCGGAATTACTTTGGGATAAGGAGTACGAGGAAAATAAAGAATACTGGTACTATAAAACCCTGTCAAACGGAACCCAGGTAGGACTAGGGTTTTGTGTGGGCCTTATTCTAAGCGAGCATGCATAGGTGCACCAACCAGTCTTCTTGTTGCTTGAGAGTATACAATAAACTTCCAATATTTTGTAATTTTCTCAAAACATATTGAAAGCAGTATAGCGTCATGGGGTCCCTAACATACAGGGAAAGATTTTTGTTGGTGATAGGTACACTTTAATGGGATGGTTGAGTTCTGGAAAAGATGGAAGAAAAAAAGAGTGACGTTTTCATTCTTGTAAATTTGTGACCGACACAAAAATCTTGAAATCTGCCGTCGGCTTCTTTTTTTTTTACCGTTTTTTTGAGAAAAAATGTAGTAACGCAGACAAAAAAGAGAAATATCAGCCCAAAGAGGGAAAATTGTTTAAAAAACCGACCGACCAATGTTTTGGCACCTAAAGGGCAATACAACATCTTTCTTTTTTTAGGCCTACTGTGAGTATGGTCAGAGTATCATAGACAAAATGTCCTCTGAAAAGGATGGCTCCTCAAATGCCCTCATATTCGAAATATGTCAAGTATAAACAGCTTAAGGTTCAGGACCACAGCATTCATGCCACCTTTTTGTGTAGTCCCATGTACACGTTTCTTTGTACGGTGCATGCTAGACGGATCCGATTTCTTATCATTTTGATGAATCCGAAATGTCAAAGTATACACCAATAACTATATGCTACATGATCAACCTTTCAAATCGCTTCCACTCAGTTTCTTTCACATTGCTATTGCATAACCAAAGTGTTATCTGGCAAGAAATCCAATTTGGGTACTTACTATAAAGTGTACTGAGTAGGAATACGTGATGTCCAGGTCTTTGTTCAAGTCTGATTTTTGGAGTGACAACGGCTCGTAATTCACGCTATGAGGGAAGACGCACTCGTCTGGCGTCCTGTGTTTCATACTGGTGAGAGAAAAGGCACAACGATTTTATAACAAGCTACAAAATGCTTTCAGCAAAAAATAAAAGACATTCAAAGAGTAAGAGAGGGGGTGAACATACTTTTAACAATTAAAGCACATTCTGTAAAAGGATTTCACCATATACAGGTAAATAAATGATGCCTTTCCTCTTGCAATTATTGTGGAAAATGGGATAGAAATGCGCAGAATATTTAAATATAACCTAATAGTCCTTAATCAAAATAAACACGATGATACTGGATGTCTTCAGTCAGCCATTACATGTACATGAAATGGAACTTGATGAGCAAACAATAAGATAATCTTTGACAAATCTAATATTTTCTGAACATGAAAGCCATTTACTATTAACCATTTATAAATTGACGATTTCAGTATGGGCAGTCAGGCACACACTTGATGCTCATAATAATAATAATGTGGTCATATATAGCCAGGGTAACGTCAGCGGTATGAAAATTGTACTTCTCAAGGCCCCTGAAATCATATAATTAACCCGACTTTAGCCTGGCTACCATGATAAGGTGCTCAAGCTTTCAAGGAGTATGTGTATCTTTAACATTGTATGTGTGATAAAAGTCCACCGCTGCTAACCACTTTCTGTATGATCAGTTGATCAAAGCTGTTAACGAGCTAAAGTCTTGCCAAAGGACACTGGTTGTAGGAGGGATTTGAACCCTGTGCTTACCTGAGTGGTTCAAGCTTGGCAGAAACAAGACGGTTGATGCCGTCATCAAGGGAATGGTAGGCGATGGTGATGTTAATATGGTTGAAGACGTAGTAGTGTTGTTCCTTCTCGTAATGGGCCTGGTAACGAATAAGGAAAGGGCACACATGTGCGCATGTAATAGGAATGATTACAATAATAGAATTGCTGTAGATCAAGATGAAGGAGAAGAAGAAAAAAATCTTTAAAAAAGAAAAAGAAGAGAAGAAAAGAAAAGAAGGGTAGGCAAAAAAGAAGAGGACCAGGAAGAAGAAAAAGAAGAATATGAGGAAACAGAATTAAAATAAGAGCAGGAAGAAGAGAGCAGAAGAGCAGGAAGAAGAAGTAAGAAGAAGAAAGAGAAGGAAGAAGAAGAAGGGGAGAAGAAGACGAGGAAGAAGAAAAAGAAGAAAAAGAAAAGGGTGAGAGTAGAAGTTTGAATGAGGAAGAGAAGGAGGAAAGGGAAAGAGGGAGGAGGAGGAGGAGGAGGAGGAGGAGGAGGAGGAGGAGGAGGAGAAGAAGAAGAAGAAGAAGAAGAAGAAGAAGAAGAAGAAGAAGAAGAAGAAGAAGCAGAAGATGAAGACGAAGAAGAAGAAGAAAACATGTTACATACAGAGAAAAGAAAGGAAGAGAAGACTTACATCAATGACACAAGCGTCCTTGCGGTTGCCATCTTTATCAACATAACATCCAATTGGAAAACCTGGAGAGCAATATTTCGAGCCACCCTGTACCTCATAACACCACGTCACTGGCATGTTGTCAATAATCCTGTAAAGGTGAATAGAATAGAAATGAGTATTTAAAAAAAAACAATTAAAAATAACTAAGCTACATGTAAATGCATACTAAAACAAGGCAAATTTAAATTTATATGTGCTAGCACTAATAAACATCCTTATAAACATTTATCAAATCTGGTTGGTAAATTAGAAAAATATTTCCTTGACCCAATCTTTTTCTTCTGCAAACATGCCTCAACTATGGGCACTACTACAAATGGACAAGGTCCATGCCCCAATTTGATCAGGAGCATTTTCTTTGCTAACATTGATTAAATATGTAAACAGTGTACATGCATTTACTTGGATTGATCAGCAGGTCATTGTCTATTATTAAGGTCAAATGAACACAGAATTCTGTTCAACTTGCCAATAGGGAAGGTCAAATTTCAATTCAGTTTTGCTATTATGATTGCTCCATTGTGCGAGCAAGTGGTCTTGTGTACATGTATAATAATCTAAACATATTGTTCACAGACCTGCCAACCTCTGGAGTTCAAAAACCGTATTCCTCAATCCCAAAAATTGTATTTTACTAACAAAATGTTAGTGACTGTTACGTGGATCAATGCCTCTTACCGTTCCTACATACATGTAAGGGAAGAAATTTGTCAATGGTTAAATATGCATGATTTCGTCACGACTGTTGTGTTCAATGAACCAATAAAAATCCTCAAATTGCCGATGTGAGATGCTTGTAGGATACTTTACAGGACAGAATGGGCATTTTGCCATTGAAAATGGCACATACATAAATTTAAAAAAAAATTATTTTGTTGTTGTTGTTGTTGTTGTTGAAAATCGTATTTTATTGAGGAAAATCGTACTGTCGTATTTGCATCTAAAAATTGTACAAAATACGACTAAATCGTACTGGTTGGCAGGTCTGTGTACATGATGCTAGCAATATACGTCAGTTTTGATGAATGTGAATATCACACTAGAAACGTGCCCTGAAAAGATTGCTCTTCAAATGACCTCATACTTGAAATACGATGAGAAATAGCTGAAAAGCATGGAAACGACACTCAGTCCTGATGTAGTTCCATACTTGTAGTCCCTTGTAATACCCATGTCTACAGTATGAGTCAAAATAAACTAACCCCCCTAACGCGTGTAACGTTTGCAATACGTTAATTATATATTTAACGTTTGTAGGCGTTACCCGTTAGACGTTAGCGTTACCCGTTAGTTTTGTTAGTTTTGTTAGTTTTGTTAGTTTTGTTAGATGATGTTCTAAAATTGACCGAAGGAACGATATATGCGCTTCAAGAAAATGATGCCTAAAATATCTGAAACATCGTACTTATCATCTCAAAATACGAGCACGAGTATGTTCAAAATCATTTACGATAAAACAATGCCAAACTAATCTTAAACATCCTTATTATCGTCTCAAAATAAGCGAATGAAGTTACGATATGTGCTTCGAGAAAATGATGCCTAAACTATCTGAAACATCGTAATTATCTTCTAAAATTGACCGAAAGAAGGAACGATATATGCGCTTCAAGAAAATGATGCCTAAAATATCTGAAACATCGTACTTATCATCTCAAAATACGAGCACGAGTATGTTCAAAATTAAATACGATAAAACAATGCCAAACTAATTTGAAACATCCTTATTATCGTCTCAAAATTAGGGAATGAAGTTACGATATGTGCTTCGAGATAATGATGCCTAAAATATCTGAAACATCGTAATTATCTTCTTAAATTGACCGAAAGGAGGAACGATATATTCGCTTCAATAAAACGATGCCTAAAATATCTGAAACATCGTACTTATCATCTCAAAATACGAGCACGAGTATATTCAAAATTATTTACGATAAAACAATGCCAAACTAATCTGAAACATCCTAATTATCTTCTCAAAATTAGCGAACGAAGTTACGATATGTGCTTCGAGAAAATGATGCCTAAAATATCTGTAACATCGTAATTATCTTCTAAAATTGACTGAACGAAGGAACAATATGCACTTCAAGGAAATGATGCCTAAAATATCTGAAACATCGTAATTATCATCTCAAGATACGAGTATATATTCAAAAGTATTTACGATAAAACAAAGCCAAACTAATGTGAACATCCTAATTATCTTCTCAAAATTTAGTAGCGAACGAATTAACGATATGCGCTTCAAGAAATTGATGCCTAAAATGTCTGAAACCATGCCCCAAACGTCGAGTCTACCCTTTATCCTATTAAGTCCCTGCTTACTCGGGCTTCAGGACATCACTTTCACTTTACCTCTTCTCCAAGTAAATCTAATTATCTCTAATCCTCTTAACTAGCGAGGGACAATTATCTATTACGTAATCACCTTGACTACAATACCTTTAATCACGAGTGTGCCAGATTAACTGCGTTTGTCTCAGTGTGTGTGTGTGTACTAGAACTTGTACTATAAATTGAAAAGGATATAGATCGCGGGAGAGAGAGAAGCGGAAACAATAGAATATCGCTGATGTTACAGGCCTTTATAACAAAAAGTAAGCCGACAGACCGAAAGAAATGAATGAAGAAAATGAAAACCAATATCACTGGCACTTGAAAAAATGAAAGAGACATTAAATCGCGGGAGAGAAAGAAGCGAAAACAATCAAATGTTGATGATGTTACAGGCTTTCATGGCAAAAAGTAAGCCTACGCAACGACAGAAATGATTGAAGAAAATGAATGCCAATATCATCGGCGCTTGAGAAAATAAAACAATTAATGGGTTGCGGGAGAGAGACAGAAGCGAATTCAATTAAATATCGCTGATGTTACAGGCTTTTATGACAAGTTCGTAAACGGAACGAAACAAATTATTGAAGCAAATGAATGCCAATATCACCCCGGCGCTTGACAAAGTAAAAGAGAGATAGATCGCAGGGGAGGGAGAAGCTAAATCAATTATACATCGCTGATGTTACAGGCTTTCGACGGAACGACCAAAATGATTGAAGAAAATGAATGCCAATATCACCAGGCGCTTGACAAAATAGATCGCAGAGAAGAGAGAAGCGAAATCAATTATATATCGCTGATGTTACAGGCTTTTACGACAAAAAGTAAGTCGACGGAACGAAAAAAAATGATTGAAGAAAATGAATACCAATATCACGGTTATCACTAGGCGCTTGAGAAAATAAAAGAGAGGTAGATCGAAGGGGAGAGAAGCGAATCAATTATATATCGCCGATGTTACAGGCTTTCATGGCAAAGAGTAAGTCGACGGAACGAAAGAAATGTATGAAGAAAATGAATGCCAATATCATCGGCGCTTGAGAAGGAAAAAAAAAGATATAGATCGCGGGAGAGAAATAAGCGAAAACAAATAAATATCGCTGATCTTACAGGCTTGCATGACAAAGAGTAAGCCTACGAAATGAAAGAAATGAATGAAGAAAATGAATTCCAATATCACCAGGCGCTTGGCAAAATAAAAGCGAGATAGATCGCAGGGAAGAGAGAAGTGAATTCAATTATACTAAATATCGCTGATGTTACTGGCTTTTATGACAAAAAGTAAGTCGACGGAACGAAAGAAATGAATGAAGAAAATTAATTCCAATATCACCAGGACATTGACAAAATACAAGAGAGATAGCTCGAAGGGGAGGGAGAAGCTAAATCAATTATACATCGCTGATGTAACAGGCTTTTACGACAAAAAGTAAGTCGACGGAACGAAAACAATGATTGAAGAAAATGAATGCCAATATCACCAGGCGCTTGACAAAATAGATCGCAGAGAAGAGAGAAGCGAAATCAATTATATATCGCTGATGTTACAGGCTTTTACGACAAAAAGTAAGTCGACGAAAAATAAAAAAATTGATTGAAGAAAATGAATACCAATATCACGGTTATCACTAGGGGCTTGAGAAAATAAAAGAGAGATAGATCGAAGGGGAGAGAAGCGAATCAATTATATATCGCCGATGTATACAGGCTTTTATGGCAAAGAGTAAGCCTACGCAGTGACAAAAATGATTGAAAAAAATAAATGCCAATATCACAGAACTACACGTGCACTACACTGTGAAGATCACTCCCTGGCCCTTGGCTCATGAATATAACTGTCAGATCCTGAATAGGGGCTATGATAGGATTAAGGCGATTAGCAGGTAATCCCTTATAAGGGATTACGAACAACCCTGTAAATGTGATGTCCCTACTTTTTAAGGGGATGTTTGAGTCATGCATCGTAATTATCATCTAAAAAAACAAGCACGCATAAAATTATATTCAAAGTGATTTACGATAGAACAATGCCATATCAATCTGAATTTCTGAAACATTGTAATTATCTTCTAAAATTTACCGAACGAAGTCTGGATATGCGCTTCAAGAAAATGATGCCTATAGTATCTGAAATACTTATCAACTCAAAATACGAGCATGGAATTTAAAAAAAAAAATCGACAAAATAATGTCAAACTTATCTTAAATTAAGCTGATATGATAACTTATGCAGACGGACGATAACTGACTTCAAATCCAGGTACTATTCCATCAATAAGGTCAAAATAATGAAGCAATTATGTCATCATGAGCGCGAGATTTTGCAAACGTAAGACAAGTGAAAAAGCATTGTAGTCATCCCGATTCATCATTGAACGGTTGCTCGCCCTAAATCAAAGCCATTTTATTCGATGCCAATTATGCCCACTGTTAGCTCAAAGTTGTTGAGTTTTTACAGGGCTACGGTCTCGCAAGGTGAACATCAGAAGCAAAATCTCATTTTCTGCCAATTTCATAGCAGGACAAAGAGGAAGAAAAACGCGATGAATAGTATAAAAGATAGGGATCCAATTTATCCGGATAGCTACTGCTTTATAAATTTGTTCCCCCTGCTTTTGATTAACCTGCCACACATTTATAATCCCATATAGGAGAACAATGCAACGCATGTATCCGAGCAGCGTCTCTACTGCTACCATCGCATGTCAATCATGAACAGTGGCCTAGCTCTTTTGTTCACTTTTGCAG